TAGAAGTGATATCTAGGGCCGCTTTACTGTCACACAGAAAAGGAATTGGCAAAGAAAGTGGAATATGAAAATCCTTCAAGATATAAGTAATCCTGAGCAATTCCCTAACTATAGCAGCCATGGCTCTATATTCTGCTTCAGCAGAAGAGTAAGAGATGGTGGTTTGTTTCTTAGCTTTCTAGGAAACTGCTGCCTAAAAAGATGTGATAACTTGTAATAGAACGCCTGGTAGTTTTACATGTTCCCTAGTCTGCATCATTGTAAGCAGCCAATCCAAAACTAGCACTGTTAGAATAAAACAAACCTCTGGAAACACTTCCTGACAGATATTTGAGAACATGTACAGCTGCATATGATCGTGAATCATGAGGTTTGTGAACAAATTGACTCAACTGCTAGACTGAATAAGTAAGGTCAGGTTTCTGTAGTTTAAGTATAGGAAACGACCCACCAATCTTCCACACTTTTCTGGATTGTGGTACAAAGGACTCTCATCTTTATCCTCATAAACAAACTTTAGATCCCTAGGAAATGGAGTAGCATGAGTAGTACAGTCAAGCATTCCTCTGCTGTAACAAATAGGTTACATACTTCTTTTGACTGACATAGATTCCTTGATGAGATATAGCAATTTCCATTCCCAGAAAATAACAGACTACACCAAGATCTTTAATAGTGAAAGTATAATCCAGGAATCTCTTTATCTTCTCTATTTCCATAATTGAAGTACCAGTGATGATAATGTCATCAACATAAAATAGAAGAAACAACTGAGAGTGAGGCTGATTTAGAATGAACAGGCAATGATCATGATAGGATTGTACAAAGCCATATACATTCAACTTGGAGGTAAACTCCTTATTCCATCGTCTACTTGTCTGCTTCAATCCATATAAGGATTTTCTAAGTCTACAAACCGGTCCCTTCTGTGCCTTCTGATGACCAAGAGATTGATACATATATACCTCCTCATCCAAACTTCCATGTAACAAAGCATTATTAACACCAACTGATGAATAGACCAATTTTTAGTATCAGTTACTGCAAACAAAAGTCTGATAGTCACTATCTAAGCAACTAGATAAAGAATTTCAGCGAAGTCCTCACCTTCCACTTGTGTGTATCTTTTTGCCACAACTCTAGCTTTATAACGTTCTATAGAACCATCTGGATTACATTTCACTTTATAGACCCACTTGGATCCAACAGCCTTCTTCCCTCTGGCAGACATGTCAACTCCCAGGTTCCACTCTCTCTAGACCTACAGTTAGTCTCAACCCACTTTTGATTAGTTCTTGTTTGATTATAATGAGTAGGTTCATGGATGACATATAAATTTGCTACAAATTCATTATACGTATGACTAAAAGAATTTTGATAAGAAAATGAAGGAGAATGAGATTTTGTATGACAATTAAAAGTATAGAAATCTTCCAACCAGCTAGAAAGATGTAAGTCTAGTACTTCTCCTGACAGGTTGAGAAAAAGATGAAAAAGTTGATGGACTGTGTAAAGGTTGATCAGATTGATCAGAATTAGATTCATAAGATTCAAAATGATGACTTAAATCATCAGAATGAGAAGAATGCTGGTTAAAAGAGAATGAAGGTAAAGATGAAGGAAAACTACCATCCATTTCTGGTGTTTTAACAGTAGGAAATGAAAGAGTTTCTTTGCAATCTGGAATAGAAAGGAATGTTGTTTCATGAAAAACCACATCCCTGGAAATAATTACTTTATCTAGTCTTGGACAAAACACTTTGTAACTCTTTTGTCCAGTTGGATAACTAACAAAATTCCTTTAAAGGATCTGGGATAAAATTTATCTCTTCCTGGTCCATTATTAACAGTAAAACACATGCAACCAAAGTTTCTGAGATGAGACAAATCAGGCTTATGACAATGCTTTTCAAAAGGACTCTTCCAATTAAGGAGCTTAGAAGGCCAGTTTATCAAATATGTGGCTGTAAGAATGGAATCTCCCCAAAACCTTTTTGGTAGTTTGGACTACAACAAAAGAGATTTTGAAACATCCAGTAAATGTCTATGCTTTATTTCAATATCCATTTTGTTGTGGTGAATAAAGACAACACTTTTGATGGAGGATGCCCTTTTGGCTAAAAAAGGATTAACATGATCAATTTAAGAATTTGGTTCCATTATCAATCCTGATGATCTTGATAATGGTTTGGAACTGTGTTTGTACCATATAGAAAATTTCTTCTTGATCAAATCAGGTACTTGGGTTTTGTACTGAAACAGATAAGTCCAAGTACATCTAATATGATCATCCACTATGGTTAAAAAATATTCAAAATTAGTAGTGATTGCCTAATGAAAAGGTCCCCATACATCCATATGAACAAGATCAAAAAATTTGACACTTATAGAAGTATTGATTGGAAAAGGCAATCTATGTTGCTTTAAAAGAGGACATATCTCACATTTATCAGTCTTACAATTTTTGTTAAACAAAATATTACAATCATTCAAATGTTGCAATACATCTAGGGAAAGATGTCCTAATCTAGAATGCAAGATTTTTGTAGGAATTCAGTAGTAACACTATTACAAGTATTATTCTGAAAACTAGAAGAAATTGGTTTCTTGAGGAATATCATGTATGAGGGATATAACTCTTGTGACCTTGAAATGGCTTCTGAAGTGAATGAATATGAATCCAGAATATAGAGCTCTTTTATTACTCTGCCAGCTGCGAGGACCTTTCCAGTTTTAAGGTCCTGCAAGAAACAAAAATCAGCATAAAACTGAAAAAACATATTTGAAGTTTTAGCTAGTTTGTGTACTGACAACAGATTATATTTGAAGTTGCAGCAATATGAATTATGACTATGTTTCTCAACAGTTATGATCATATGATAAACTTTATCCACCGAAGGAATTGGGTCCATGAACAAAACTCCTATCTGGTTCATATACTTGATTAAGTCCCATAAAAAATTCCATGACACGATCATCATTCTCCCAATTCGTAATCAAGTCCCCTATTTCACCTTCAACAACAGGTGCATGCCTAAGTTCTTTATACTGATCCCGTATCTGCTTGATCTTGCCAAACCAATCACAAACTAACATATTTCCTTGTCTAAGAAGAGCAATTTCCCTTTTTCAATTCAAACAGATAAGGACTCCACAATTTCCTAGCACCACATATGAATATAAACTGATTCATCAAATCGGACGTCATGGAACACTTAATCCACAAACAAACCATGTTGTTTGGCCTTCTCCATTTGAGTATAATTGGAGAATCTTCTGCTGGCATCAGAAAACTTCCATCAACAAATCCTACCTTCATTTTTGCCTCCATCGCAACAATCATTACACACCTCCGTATCAGATAGCTATGTTTGTTAGAAGCATTGAAATAATTTGAGTACCAGGACTCTCAGATCCATGAACGTAAACTGTTCTTCAATCAATGGATCAATTTCTCGTCTCTACTCCATTTCTTTCCAATAATTCTTCAATCTTGCTTGTTTAACTAGAAAATCTCCAAAATTTCAAACCTTCTTGATTTAATCAAGATTTCTAAACCTAAAGAAAATGTTTTACGAATCAAATTTGAACAAAATGAAAAACAACGGACTGCAGAGCAGAGCATATTTACACCTACTCTGATACCATAATGAAATTTGCAGTAGCAATCATCAGAGTTTGATGAACAATAAAGCAAGAAGGAAGAAGCCAGTTCTTAGAAGAGAAGCTTTATATTGATTCTCAATTTTCTGTATGTTGAAGTATCTGTACAAGGCGGCACATATATAAATCACTAATTCTAGAATCATCTAATCATTTACAGACTATTAAGAAACACAATCAGTCACAAACGTCTATTTACAACTAACTAAAAAAGTAACTTAATCCAACGTCCAATAATCAAGGGACTTTGTATTGTGAGGATCGGTGACTTGGATTAATGATGATTCCTCGAGACCGCTGCCAAGCTGGATTGTTGCTGATGCCTTGCTCAAACCACGGATGGTGACCAACTATCTATGAAGGAGCCTTCTGCACCAAGTACTGAAAAGTTTGTTCATCTTCCATGCATGCAGAAGAATGGCAGTTTGTCTTAGTCTTCAAGCTGCTGACTTCTTCATCTGATACTTGTAATACAATCATTTTTGCGTCTATGTGATTATTTTTTTCTGATAAACACGTACTTCTTGTGCAGAGGCTCCAATTTCTCTCAGTATTGTATTATCAATTCTCCATTTCATTGTGGTGCATGGTGACACGAACAACTTTGCCGTCGAACCATCTTTCAGTGTGGAAGCTTCAGAGTTGTCGAATACACAACAGTGAAGGAGTTCATTAGGAAACTTGCTAAAGATTTGTGATATGCTATTTAATTAATGTTCATGTGGGGATCATTGCTTTTCATTTTTTGTTGTATATTGTCTACTTTATTTCTGCAATGATTACAATGTAAAGATTGATTAAGCACGAGATACTATGGTATAAATTTTCCGTGTTAAATTCGTCTCATAAGGTTATCATCTAGTGGCGTTACAATTTTGTCGTCTAGCCTCCTTTCGCATTTATTTCTTTCTTTTTCTTCATGAATTCCTGCTCCGATCTATCAAAGGAAATTCCACTTATGTGCAAATTGACTTTTTGAGTTTAGTGATCTTCATTTGCCATATCGGAATGTTCTTATCCATGACGTTTCTAAAAGTTAATCAATAATATCAAATAAATCTTGCAAGATACGTCTAGAACTACTAATTTATCAGATTGCGAATAAAGTACGTCATCAATAAAATCAAACTCAGTTCAACTTCTTGTTTACACTTATAATCATAGGTGTTTTATTATTTTTATTTTTTCCTAAAGAGACGGATAAATTATATCCTACAAGGGGGATATTAGAAAATTTCAAATTTGAACTCTCACAAATTTTAGGGGGAATGGATCATGGGCAATTAACCGAGTATGAGGGGCTGAATAGTCAATTGACACGAGGAGTAGTAGCTACTAGCTAGTGTCCGACTGCGTGTCAACTTACAGGGAGAGAGAGCTAAACCCGTTCTCCTCAAAACTTCGAAAAACACCTAAATACAGAGTCCACTTCACAACTACGAAACCGCTGCATATATTCTCTTTCTCTCTCACACACTCACACACTAGCTCCTCCGTCATCCTCCCCCTCTTCCTCCTCCACATTTTCAGTTACTAATCGTACTCCAAATAAATCACCGAACCCACCCAAAAAAGGGAAAAAAGTAATCCAAAAACCAAACTTTCAAATTTCGAAAAACCATACCATTTATAGACTCTGCTCACCGAACCATATTATGTATGTAGGCCTCCTTTTAGAGTGAGTCCTCTTCCCCCTCCTTATTTTCAGCTCCTAAACTTTTTTTTTTCTTCTTTTTTGATTTTCTATCCTAGTTGTATGCCTAATCTAATTACAGTAATTCTATAATTTGTATTAATTTATGGGTTTATAATTGTTATTGGGATTTTTTTTGCTCATTTGACCGGCTCCTATTTTAGAAGTATTTTTTTTGGTTGGGTTTTCTGTTTACGTTACCATCCCAAATTCCAATCTGGTTTTTCTATCAGTTATCAATTTTCAATCGCCTGCTGCAGTTGCTGCTATCTCTGGAGTCAGAGAAACCCGACCCGGATTATATAATCACAGACCCAATTTGATTTCCTTCGATTCTTCCGGCTCCAGGTGACAATCTCTTCCCCTTTTCCGGTTCCAAGATTTGATTTTTATTTTGCGGGATTTTTGTTGCCATGGGATTTTCTGTTTCTTACCACTTCTGCACTGTCGCAGAGTATTGAATGTATGTGCGTCTTCTGTTTGTCGTAATAACTCCGTGGGTGGTTCTACGTACATACGCCAGTTATTCAATTGGATTTTGTTCGTCGATCAATTTCTGTTTGGCCCCAAATTTCGGTTGCATGCAACATACAGCTGCATTAGAGAATTAATGTTCCACTGAATTCTAATTCCTCTGCTAATCCTTTCTAGGGTTTCTGGGTTTGGAATTCTCTGGCTCGCATTAGTTTTGTTTGCAAAAGATCCAATTTTTATTTCAAGTTTTCATCTTTTTTTGCCCCTCACACACCCCCAAAAAAAAAAAAAAAAACTGCACGGGGCCCTTATACCTTCCCCTCCAGTTGCCTCAATTCTCTTTTGATTCTTGGTTTTATTGTCCCTTTTCTATTGCTCTGCTCTGAATATGGATAACTGTGGGGAATGAATTTCTTGCATGTGGTGGTAGTGGTCTTTTGTTTAATAATCCTGATTTGGAATGGTAGCTTTATTCTTATGTCTGAATACAAGAATTGGTATGAAGTTGGTTTCGTTTGTGGTGATTGCCCTTGGCTGATAATCGTGTTTGGATATCTTTGGCACTTGTAAGGCAATTTGTTTTTTTTTTCTTTCTTTCTTTCAAATATAGTTATATAATCTCATTCTGTCTATGCTCTGCTGTATATGAATTTCTGTATGTTTTAGTTGAACTTTGGATGATAGTCTCGGTTACGTAAGCTTTCACATTTTGTGGTATGGTTCTGCTTTATATCAATTAAATGTGATCTGGAATGAGGATGCTCTGTTGAAACTGTGCTGCATCTGTGCATAAGATTGAGAAATGATTTTTGTATATGATAGTGTTACATGTGTTAACTTCCTGTCCAGAGGTGTCTATGCTGTTTGTGACTGTTGGAAGTTTTTTTTATGCTTGGGTTTGTAGTAGGGTTTCAATATGGACAAAGAAGATGTGCAAATGGAGGAAGCTGAGACACAGTCTCATAAAGGATTGGATAGCGGCATAGAAGCTTCAGAAGATGGTGTCCCAGGTGTTAAAGAAGCTTCAGGAGATGGTGGTGCAGATGTTAAAAAAGTTTCAGAAGATGGCGTTTCAGATGGGGAGGAACCCAAACTTGCTCATCTGCAAGAACCTTCTTCTACTCCTGCAGTTACTGATGACAACAAAAAATCCCATGAGATAGGAAACGAAGATGGACAGCCTTCAGTCGATGATACTGTTGTAAAGAAGCAAGGTAGCGCTACAATTGAACCACAGGAGCAAAGCCATCCCAAGTTTCAGAAGGGAAAAGAAGGTGGTGTTGAAACAGAGGTAGGTGACCAGATCAAGGGGTTTCAGGGGATCCAGCCTGAGGAAGAAATAAAGGATATTAAAGAGGCAAAGCAAGAAACCAGCCTTCCTGCTACTGAAACTGCAACCAAGGACGAATCAGATGTTGTTAGTGCAATAAAAGATCAAAGCTCTGCTGAGAATGGGAAACAGGATGAAGGTGCTAGAGACAACGTGATGGCTGACGAAACTACTCCACAAATTGCTGTGGAGGAGGCCAAAAATCAGAGCCATGACGGAGAGCTGCCATTTCAGTTACCAGTTAGTGAGGTCCCCCCAAAAAAGAAGGAAGCTTTGGATGAGGCTCATCAGATTGAGGGTGAGAAAATGGTCAAGGGGCTTGGACAGGAGGTTCACCCCAGTGAGACTGTAGATCTGGTAAAGAAAGAACTTGATAACCAGTCAGTCCTTTCGGCCGCCGCTCATGACAAGACTCTGACCCAAGCAACCAAGCATGAAGTTGGTGACTCTTCATTTGGAAATAAGCGTCAACCCGTGACACCTGATTTCCCTTTGAGATATTCAAGCAGGAGATCAGCAGCCTATAGTGTGAGTGGGGAAGCAATCAAGAACGTAGTCAACAATGCTAAGGCAAGATAAGATAGAGAATTTTTTTTTTGGTCTATTTTACTTCATTGCTACCCAGTCAACTTGAGTGTAAAATGGCTGAAGTTTGGTTTGGTATTTGTCACAAAATGCAGATCACAGATAATGAGGATGGGACCCCTGAGCAACAAGCAGCATTTCTCAAGGAACTTGAAAACTTTTACAGGCAAAGGGGTGTGGAATTTAAACAACCCAAATTCTATGGGCAGCTACTTAATTTATATAAGTGAGTTCTTTTGCTTTATTTTTGTTTGCCATCACGTTCTTGCACTTCCTTTAGGTGTTTGTTGACCCTTGTGTATTCTTTTCTTTTAGGTTGTGGACGTCTGTTGTTAAATTGGGCGGCTATGATCTGGTAGGAATGCCTGTGTCTTAATTTTTCCTTTACTGTTATTAAGCTTTAGGACATAAAAACTTACTGTTAGATCTGAGTGATTGGGCAGTTAGGAATTTATTGTATGCCTTTATAAATATCTATGGTTCATGGCTCACAACAATTGGATGTAATAAATCTTTGCTTTTGAGAACTCGTATTTTGATCAGTATTGATTTTTGATTTCTGACATTTTGATCAACTTTACGAATATGATTCCTGTAGGTTACTGGAACTAAGTTGTGGCGGCAAATTGGGGAGTCATTTAATCCTCCAAAGTAAGTTTTATTTGGTTTTCCTTATGGAGTAGTCATTCATTTGAAATGTTCCCCCTTTTACTCCTTGCCCTGTTTTTACACTTGATGACAACAAATGTGTACCAGTTCCAAGTGAAAACATACTTTGCGTCAAATTGCTGCTCTTTCAAGGCAGAAGACCTTTATAATTCATTAATTTCCTTTATAATACAGATTGTGAGGCGCTTAATTCTCTGTTATTTTCAGGACTTGTACAACTGTTTCCTGGACATTTCGGATTTTTTATGAGAAGGTAATATTTAACTTCTGTTTTTTAGCATATTTACGAATTTTTTATTTATCCAGTCAGACTATGGCACAATACTTAAACAAGTCTTTAGATACTAGAGATATAGTTGTGTAGTCTTAGTCAATGTGTCTGCTAGTCCATTGTGATAGTCATGTGGTGTGGCTATTGTTTGAAACAGTTCTACTATGTCTTTATCTGTGCCACTAGGGCACCTTTTATTCAAATTGTATTAGGCCTCTGAATAAGGGACGAAGGCTTATGTTGCTTTATATAACCTTGCACGAACTGATGTCGCCTGTACAAATCTCTACATAATGATTCTTGTCACGCTCTCGTTTTAACTGACTGATTTGATTTTTTCTTTTGGACATGATAGTCGCTGCTGGAGTATGAAAAGTTCAAAGTGCAAAATGGCGATATTGAACTCCCTTCTGCTACTCTCGCTGAACCATCAAGTGCTGACAACGAGGTGTGTTTGCTTGTCACGGACATTTAGATTTGCAAATGATATTAACTTTTTTTGCTAGTTTGTCCCGTATTGCTGTTTTGATATTTTACATGAAGGATGTTAGCTTTGTCTGCATGTATTCCCACGTTGGACTAATAGCTTTTGCTAATGTCGATTTGTAGTAGAAAACGAACAAAAAGTTTCAGCTTTACAGAATAAATTTTCACTTAAATGTCTGATTTTCTCTCCTCAAAGTTGCCACTGAAGTTATAATCTGTTTATTTGAGAAGAACTTTTCCCAGCCTGTTAATTAACGGTGTGAAGCTAAGATAAATCCAGTGAAGAAAAAGATGTGACATGGCTTGGTTTTTCTACCCAGGACCGCGGAATACTGATTAATTTTCATGTATAATGTTCTATACTTCTTGCAATTGGTTATCTAGTCTTCACCTGACACATGAACATTCTTTGGTGTCAGAACCTTTTGAGATGAGCTGTGAATTGAACTTGAATTTGCTTTGTTTTCCAGCGGACTATTGGGCAATTTATTCCTGTTCCATTATTGTGTTATTTACCCATTCCAATCATGGTCTTTTGTTCTAGATCTTAATGGATATCTGAATTATTCTGTAGGGGAATGGTTACCAAGCTCCTGGCTCTACCAGAGCCAGGAGAGATGCAGCTGCTCGTGCAATGCAAGGTTGGCATTCTCAAAAGCTTCATGGTTATGGTGAGGTCAGTGAGCTTCTCAGAAAGAGCTCTAATTTTAGTTCCTTTTATAACTGATCTGGAGGACCATGTGGACTAATATTTTTCCTTTGCATTTCTGTGCTTTTCAATGCTTTATGTTCTGCCAGGAGAAGAGTCCCAACAGTATGCAAAAGCGTGAAAACAAGGTCAAAAGCATAGGTAAAGTAGTATAGAAGTCCGTCTTCTGAGATTAAGCTGTTTCATGGTTTGCATTATTGAACAAAGTAAAGGCAATCATATGCAACATGTCCTTTAATAAGTTTGACTACCAATTGTTCTCTTTCCCTCTTCGCTATTATTAAAATGAAATGAGAAAAAAAAAAAGAAGCTTTAAAAGAGTCCACGTGGAATATCAATATTGCCTTATTTTCCTTTGTCCAATTCTTAATTCTGTTCGGAAAATGTCCTTAGATTAACGCAGATGACTTTTTTTCTTTTCTTGCATGCTATTGTTAAATATTACATGAATATATTCATTGTATTTTTTCTTAGTATTATTTTTTTTAAAAGGTAGTTAAAAATTTTGATCAATTGAGTTCCTTCTTTTGAGTCAGGTTCGCTTAAGCAGAAGAGACCAAATGAGCCAGAGCTTCCCGTGAAGACACAGAGAACTGAAACATCCAAACAGTTAAGTTTGGTAGTCACTAGTTTCGCTTTTGTTTAATTTGATTGTTTATTGGTTGGACTAGTTTTTGATTGGTGAGTTGATAGTATAAAACTTTGTTACTCTTTGCGTTGCTTTGTTGACACTTTTATTTGGATTGGAGAAGTTGGGATAATTTTCAGTTTTCCCTGTATGCTTAAAGTTGCCGGAAACTGCAAGTTAGAAATTATCTTGAAAATAGTTTGCAATGAGAATTATGAAAAAATTCATATGCCTGGCGGAGACATGGACCAAATAAATCCTGAGCTCCATGTATTGATTATAGAATTTAGTTTAAGATACTTTGGCTCGTACATGGCTTGCTGGTGTAAGATGACAGCTTTCTGGTAATTGTGATGAAGATGCTCTGTAAACAACAATTGAACAACATAAGAGGCATTTGTATTTCTCTAGACTGCAAGACTAATTTAGGACCCTTTCTGCGGATTGTCTTCTAATGCTCAATGACTTCTGCTTGTCAGATTGGTTACAACTGTGGTTGATGTTGGTCCTGCTGCTGATTATGTGAAGATAAATATTCGTGAAACTGTAAGTTTTTCATGGATATGGATGGACGGTGAATAACAATTGTTCAGTCTTTCTATTTTTCGCCCTTCCCTCTGAGCGTTTGATTTTCTTTATTTGCAGAAAGATTGCTTTGAAATTTATGCTCTTGTTCCCGGGCTTTTACGTGAAGAGGTATGTATTCATTTGTACCGACCCTATTTATCATCCCGGTTTTAGCTGGAGTTAAAAGTCTTGGAGAACATGACTTATGTTTATGAGAAGATTCCACTTTTTTGTGGTTGTTCTTTTTTGGTAGTTGTATACTTGTGCTTGATATGTATTTTATTTTGTTCTGGTAATTTGTGATCTTGATTATGACATCGTTGTTGGAAGAATGATAGTCATCTGCAGCTTTTCTTTTGCAAGAGCTAACTTAAGCTGAATCCTTTTGATATTTTTGCACTCATTGAGGTTTAACCCTATTAATTATGAGGAATGCTCTGACATAGAAACTTTGGAGCGGAATATCTTTGTTATTTATTGCATTTATTTGTTATGAAGTCTGATGGATTGTTCAACATGGCGTTCTCGAGGTTGGTTACTGATGGTATCTAGGGTTGTCGCTCATGCTCTTATAATTAAATGAATTCAGGTGCGGGTTCAATCTGACCCAGCTGGACGTGTTGTCATTACTGGTCAGCCTGAGCAGATTGATAATCCATGGGGCATTACACCCTTTAAAAAGGTTAGTCTTTTTCTTGTCTGCTAATTTAGGACATTCTAAACTTACAAAGCTACAGTTTGTGGGACAGAAACCGAAATGCAACAATTCCTAGTGTGGGTTTGGTCCATTCATTCTCTTGATTGTGTACATTTGTCCCCTTCTATTTTCAGGTTATCACTTTACCTGCCAAAATTGATCCACTTCATACTTCCGCTGTTGTTAGCTTGCATGGGCGTCTCTTTGTACGTGTCCCTTTTGAGCAGTCAAGTTAGAGAAGTGGATTTTTAATCTTTTGGAGCTGATAGTAGAGAAGGAAAATTTCCTTGAGGTAGTTCCCATGCTTCCTTGATTTGGCTTCTTTTACTCGTAAGATGGGGTTGATCTAGGTTAGGTGTTTATGTAACTTTGTCCATTTTCATGGTTGCAGAATATTCTTGCCGTTAGTAGTGACTTAGTTCTTGTTGGCTTAAGATGTCAATGTGTTAGGAGGAAGGTTTTCTCCGTTAGGCTCATCATCGAACTGTTGTTTAGGACTAATTTAGGGCTTTTATGTAATTTTTACATTTTTTTTAATCCGACCTCTCTTCCTTTCTCTCAAATTTTTTTTTTTTTTGTTGGGGTTATAATTTAATGTCAAAGCCATCATCAAGGGCATAATTTACAGAGAAAATGGCCTTTTGCACTCTAGAAGAACCAGACTTGTATGTAGTCTTTACCATACTGTGCCACATGGTACATAAGTCACAAATCAAAGTACGTACTACTGTTTGTTACTGGGACCAAGTTAGTTTGATGTTTTAGTACAACTTATCTTTTGAAAAACTGCAAAAATGTCCAAGTATGTTTGAAATGTGTTTTTACATTCTTCAACTATCGTTTGAACCTTGAGTCTTGAGATATGGAACGTGGCCGCTGCGGTGGTGGTTTTGGTCACTTTCAAAAAACTTTTTGTTCCTTGTAGCAGAGAATGGAAAAAAAGTGTTTCTTAAAAGTTGAGAAAAATGGCGGGGTGCATATTTGCAAAAATGAAATCTCTGTATCCAGTTGCCAATATTTTTTTCATATGAGCCACTAAATTAGAAATTTGTTGAAACTCATTTAGAAAGGTCAGATCAAACAAGTGAATGGCGGGGCGCCGTGGCCTATGATTATTATTGTAAAACCGGAATTTTTGTGGTATAAAATTTATGAAAACGTTTTCATCCTTTCTAATGTTGAATGGGAAAATTGTCTTGTCTCAAGCAAAAAAAGCTATAGTGAGATCTAAAATATGGTTAGATTCTCGCCAATCACGTATAACTGAGGATGGCTAAGCAAAAAAATATTCAAGGTAAAAAGATTAAAGTAGTACAATGCAAGAAACTGTCACAAATCACGGGTTCCAATTTTTGTTCAAATCAAAATTCGCTAACGAACTCTTTGTGCATCTAAGTATCAATGTTCATATGGTGAAATGAGGAACATTGCGAAGGTGAAAACCACGTGAAATTACAAACCACTAACAAAAGCACAAAAAACCGAAAGCTATTGCATCATATTTTGGCCATAATCAATCTGATGCACCAAATTAAAACTCTTGGACTGCTTGTTAAGCATGATTTACTAGACATCCGTAAATTAGTTAAAGAATGATGATAGAATAGATACTTCCATTTACAGATCTTTATTAGTTTGGTCTCTGAGATTTCTTGCAATTTTATTGAAGTCTTTAACCAAACACGCTCTCAGCACAAGAAATTTCGTGAAGGGTGGCCGAATGATTGATCGATCATCACCCACATTTTGTCGATATTCCAGTCCTATATTTCTTCAGTGTCAAAAGAGAAACTTGAAAAGAATTAGTGAATTACAGCCTTGACGACCTTGTTTATTTTGGCGGGACATTTTGTTCCTCGGATTCCCGCCTTTTTTAAAAAAGCCTTTTTGAGAATTGAAGTTTCAAGACAAAAATCCCTGTAATGAACTCCTAAGAGCAAATACATAACCAAACTATCACCTTGGCACTACAACAACAAAGTTTCCTCCGACCTTACATTAAGTTTGGTGTATCAACAAGCATTTCAAGATCAAGTGGTACAACTAAAACACAAACTAATTCACCAGTCCAGTTAAGAATGTGTAATATACACAAAACGGAAATGGAACTAAAAAGAAATTCTTAACTTTACTAATTAAATTTACGTGTTCATCCTATAATAACACTTAACTAAATGTTCCTTGAAAAAAAATTAAGTCTCAATAATTAAGCTTTTTAATTGTGTGAAAACACTTTTTTTTTATGTATACTTTTTTTTGGTTTCATGATCATGGTATATCATTCTAACATTGATTTGAAGGTTAATGTTTGCCGCAATGATGATTGTGAGGAATAAGAAGTTACTTACTTCATAATCCTCACCCAGCTATATATATTACTCGATTTATGATGATTGTGAGGAATTTTAACATTGCGTTTTACCTAGAACATTAAAGGCAAAATAAAATTTACCTAAATCCTAATAGAAGAATACTGTGGCTAATTAATTGACCACTAAGACATTAAAGTTAAAGTATATAGTGACGCATGCAGCAGATTTACATGCGAAGTTGGTCTTCCAGCAACATTCTGCGGCAACATCGGCAACGTTCGAGCGCCGAACAACCTCGGCGGTACGGATTTCCGGACCAGGAAGGACGGCAATTTTGAGGGCTGTGCTCACAATGGGGATTATCTACCATCATGGTGCCCTTGTCAATAAAAGTCACTTCATCCGTCCCGGCAAACGACGGCGGCGCTTCGCCGATTGTAGGTGTCGTATCCTTAAGAGTACCATCGTCTTGCACGGAAGTAGCATCGGAAATTGTCGGAAATATTAGAAGAACTGACATGACCAGGAGGAGCACGGCAAGAGCCGATTGGGTTGTTGTCCTCGTCGCCACCATCCTTGATTAATGCAAGAAGTAAAAGCATATATAACTAACTACACTACGTTTCAAATGTTGTAGGGTAGATGTAATACGCATTCTCTTCGGTCAAGTGAGACCTGTTAGTAGTTATTATGACCTATATGTTGGCATTTTGGTGCATTTATTTAAAACATTTAGTTTCATTGAAAACCTTCGTTAGTAAAAGATTAGAGATCTGTATATGTTTGTTTAATTTTTGCCTTGGTAAGAATGTTACAAATGAATTAAGTAGTGTGTGAGAAGAGAGTTGCTAACATTGAATTTAAAGCTATGGTAATATTGAATTTTTCAATAAAGTCTCTTAAATTTATGGTGTTATGTGCTCATTTACTAACAAGGGTAGCATGGTTTTTGAGCTAGCTCCTTCTCAATTAGTATGAAGAATGAAGATGACTCTATTATCTTCCTATGTGCGAATTGTTCGTATTGATGCCGGGGAAAAAAAGAAGTTAAAATAATAGTATGATATGGTATGATTTTTCACCACATCTATCACCATTAAGTTCAATCTCTATATAATTTTTAAGATGTATAAAGTATGATTTTCGGAATACAGTATCTCAAGGCTATTGTTACACACAGGTATTGAAGTACCATATAAAATCATTGTTACACCAGCCGCTGATGACCTTTACAAAACTCTAAAGAGTTCTACAACTTGAAAATTGAACACTTTTGTAGTTATCTGCTGATGCAAACAAATGCGAGAAGAAACACATTCCATATCCTACTATATAAGAAACGAAAACTTCCCTTTCAAACGCTTCTTACAATTGCCACGTGGCAAGATGAAATTACTGAATTGCCCTTTGGTCTAATTTCAAATACCTCCGATATCTTCGCCGCTGCGTACTGGCCTTCCGCCATATCCATCATCTCTGCTCCGCCGTTTCCTCCAGCCCCACCCATTACGAAATAAAAACACACTAAAGAAAACCCAAATCCTAATTATACACAAATAACAAATCTTTGTACTATTTTTTACACTTTCTGCAACAAATCACCCGAACCCAAATCAATCACATACACTACAGCAATCACCGAGACTTTTCACACTATTGCATATGGGAATTCGGTATTGGGCAGGTGAAGAGGATTCATCGGGTCATACAGATTATAGGGAGAGTGAGGATTAATTTATAAATGGAAATTGGGGAAGAAAAAAGAGTGCGAATGAGCAGGTAGCTGCCATCCGTGCTTCCTCACCATATTGTCGTTCCGTTCGTCAGTGAGTGAGTGAATACTCAAATTCAGAACTCACCAAACTTTTTCTTTCTTTTTTTTGCTTTCACCTAACTCACAGTTGCACTACACATGTGGGGGAGAATGAAACCCAAAAATGGGAAAGAAGAAGAAGAAGAAGAAGAAGAAGAAGAATTTAATGATGGAATATTGGGGTTTGGGAGGGGTCTCAATTCTCAAAGTCAGTCTGGAAATGACTCGAGTTCTCTGCTAATAATTTTGTATGGGAAGAATGACAAAACACACAGTCACACACTGCTTTACTGAAATTATCATCATCTTCTTTCTTCATTTTCTTTCTCTCACTTTTTTGATCGTTGAATAAAAGAGACAAGAGGAAAGAGAAAAACGAAAGAAATGCAAAATGAAAATAAAAGAAGCAGTAAAACAAAAAGTAGTTGTGGGAATTGGGCTGGAGGTGTGACGGGCAGATGGGCAAAGCTTCAAAAGTGGGGTGCAAGTGGACAAACCCAACCACATTCAATTCTTTTCACCTCCCTATATAAACACAAAAGGGAAAAAAAAATAAAATTTCTCATTATATAGTTAGTTACCCAAGAATTTTTGTATGATTTTTCATTCTGTTTGGATTAAATTGATCAATTGAGTTTTTGTTACAAAGTGTAATTTTTTTAATTTATTTTTTATGTTTCATTCAATTAGAGTAGTTTTCTTTTTTTAATTATGGCGTCTCATTGAATTATTCAATCGGTTTTTGTCTAATATTATTAGGATACTTTTATATTTTTGTCTAACATTTACGTCAAGGCATATATTCGATCAAGTTTATTTATATTCAATAAGTTACACTTATAAAACATTTCTAAAACATACCTGGGCAAATACAATTTCTTTTTTAGCCAAATAAAAATATTTCTATGATCACACTTATAAAACATTTCTAAAATTTTTAAATATTTTTAAAATATATCGGGCCAAATATAATTTTTTTTTCAAATATAAACATTTCTAAGATCTACAGATAGATTGGGCCAGGGTCGCGCATTGCACGACCAGACATCACTAGTAATATTATAAGAGATTAAAAATACGTCTTATATCCCACCTCGATCCCAAAGAAAGACTCACGTTCCTGAATTTTGGGAGACAGGGAGTACTTTTTTTTTTTTGTTTTTTTACAAAGAGACAAAATCCATAAACTCGTCATCAGCCTCAAGAGAACTCATTACATCAGGCGCAAGGCAGATTTCCAAATCCATGCTGCCTCCTCCTTCAATGCCAGGATACACAGTGATTTTCCCATCAAACTTGCGCTCCCGCTTCGAATCGCGATAGCTTTGCCGAATCCAAATTCAAATCCAGACATGTTGGACCTCGAAGATCCTCCAATAAGTATGCCACTTCCCAACACCCGGCCAACACACGATAGCGCCGCCACCCACCCAGTTTCGACGAAATCCCGAGCAGTTTCATCTGTTTGGCTGTTAACCGCTTCATGTAATAACAATGCAGCCCACCCGAGGCTCCTCTCCAGCAGTTCACCACAATTGACAGCTGCTTCAACTGGAGAAACATAGTTACCGAAACTGTTCTGCGACGCGGGCGGGACTAATCTTGATCTGTGGTCTACAGCCAGAGTGGCAATTGTTGTTTGATCAGATGGGATTTTCCTGGCTCTTGTAATACATCTCCAAACATGTGCTGACACTGCCTGAAATGACGAACTCTTTCTCGAATCGCAATCGCCATTATTTTTATTGTCATTAGCCTTTGCTTTGAGTTTTGCAACTGATTCTGTTGAGAAATGGAAAATCCTTTCCCTGAGAATGACTAATTTTGGCTCTGCTTCATCTCCCCTGTTTTTGTCAGCAAAAGGCAGGCTCAAAAGGGGACCTTTTCCCTTTGGAAACACCTTGTCGTATGTTGGAGATCTGGAGATTGCTGTATTATTATTATTATTATTTCCATTGGAATTGAAGATCTCCGCAAATGAGGTCAAGAAATGCCACAGGGAAGTCCCATCAGCAACCATATGGTTCATAGAGAATCCCATGAAAACGCCATGAATCAACTCTGTGACTTGAATGGTCATCAACGATTGGTCTCCACAATCATAGTTGATCACACCCTCGTGATCAAAGAATGATCTAACAATCGATGGAACATCGATTGGCGAAACGATATCAACCATGTTCAATTCAGCCGATGCGTGAATGAATCTGGCGCCAGGGCCTTTGTTACAATCGACATAAATCGCCTGATTCGGAGGATTGTTAGGCCCTTCCAACTGAACCATTTCAAAGCGACCCGCTAACGGGTAGAAATGAACTAGGGTAAGAGAAAGAGACTCTTTCAGATTCAGTAGGAAATCGTGCATTTGATTCTGATCAAATGATGGAGGCTTTGGGAAAAGGAAGCCCTTCTGCATATACTGAACAAAAGCCATTCCCAGATCAAATGGACCCAAGTATATTGCCTGATTGGATTTTGGAAGGCTGTATTTTGGTTTGATGAAATTGTCAGAGATGAATTCAACAGCAGGAAACTTCATTCTCGTTGTGAGGAGTTTGGTGGGAGGAAGGAATATCAAAAATTTGTTGAAGATAGTTTTTCCACCGACACAATTTTCTATAGAAAGCAGCAGAGGCAACTATAGCTAGCTTTAATTTACTAGATATTTTGTTATATAGACAGCAACAAATATTGATCACAAAACTTGCACCGGTGACAGGTGGAGAGGATGTGGTTGGAATTTATGAGACGTAAAGTGATGGTATTAGGGATCCACTGAAGAGAGAGTGGGCGTGTGGTGGGTGTCAAACCAACAAAAATAAAAGATTCTACTCCTAACAAATTTAGTAGTATAGCAATGAGTAGAGTCGTCTCCTCAGGGAGCAAGGAAGTGAAAATATTTCTAATCAAAAACAAAGTAACTAAATGGGAGGGATTTTGGATTTGTAACTAATGAATAACAAAAATAATTTGCAAGCAATAAAAGATATTTTTGGAAAATCAATAATAAGAGCAACTCTAGTCAAAGGAATAATTTCCACCTTGATGTATCCAATTGATCATTGATGCAAAGATTAACTCAACAAATGATGAATATATTAGTTATCGTTATTGGAACCTCCTAACAACTCAGTCTTTTTATTTAACTACCAGTGACTAAGAAACCTTCATTAATCACTCTATAGCCAAAAAAACACTACCTGGAACCTCCTAGGATTCAGTTTTTGACAAGCAAAGACCCAATTCAATTTCTAACAAACAAACCTTGTTTCATTAAAAATTGATTATTTATTCTCACAACACAAGTAAACTACTTACCAAGTAATTATTTGCATTGTCTCTTCTAAAGAACAAACAAACCTTGTTGTTTAATAAATTAGATTATCTAGGAGAATTGAATGCTACCAACTATTCAAATAATGCCAAATAATCATCAATACACATCAAAGAGAATAAATAAATATTCAAAATTCGTTGGTGAAAAGCAAACAATTAGATCTCACAATTGAATAACATCAAGGCTTCAATAAAATCCTTTAACTAGAAAAGAGGTTTAGTTGCTAATCATGGTGAAATCAACAACACAAGAATTGATGTTTGACATTACAGAGCAAAAACTGACGAAAACGGAGAGAAATCCTTGTCCTAAGCTCCAGCTGTTGCTCCCTGTGTTGTGCCTCTTCTCCTCCCTCAAAATAATAAGAAAAGATCTATTTATATGCAAATTTAGGGCATCCCCACGTTCAGCCCGTCCAAAAATCGCAGCAACCAATTACAATTTTCAGAATTTGTAAATTGGTCCCTGAAGTTTGCCAAAATTACAAATTGACCCTAAAACTTTGGAAATTTTGCATTTTAGTCCCTGTTTCAGCGTGCCCACGCGGGAATACAACATTGTTTCTGGAATTTCCTCCTTCCTTCATTGATTTTGGCATGGATTTTGTGTGCCCACGTGGGAATTAACCACTTCTTCTCTAACTTGAAACTTGATTCAATAAAACATTCAAAATCTCTTCAAAATCAACAATTTTCTTCTTTTTGTTCCAAATCCTTCCTATGATCAAATTAAGAATCAAAACACTAATATTAGCATAGATAATATTCAAAACAACACATAAACTACCACAAATATCATGCTAATATTAACATTATCAACTCCCCCACACTTAGATTTTGCTTGTCCTCAAGCAAACTTAAAAAGAATAACTTTTAAAACCACTACTTTGAACCACAAAATTTGGAAATCATTTCAAACACAATCTCAACCACCATGTCACACATCAATCATAAACTTAATCAATTAGGCAATCAAACATAAGCTCCTCTACTACTATGCATAGTTAACAAGATAGTTGCTTCATCCCTAAACTCCATCAATGATTGGAACAAAATCCCCTCACCAGTAAGTTCCCTCATTTTCTTTCTTCTTTTCTCTCAAGTGTGGCGTATCAAACAATTCACACAAATCAATATCTAGCAGAATACACAAGAATTTGAAAAGGCGTCACATCATCATACACCAAGCAAATAAACTTACCAATAAAGGTCTTTACATAGGGTTGTAATGGGGCTTTAGGTAAGGAAAAGGGTGGATAATTATGGATGTAGGCTTATTTTGTCAAGATAGACCAAGTATACTTAAACTCTACCATCTTACCATATATCCCATATAATGACATTGCTCATCCTCACACTTCAGAGTTCAAGTGTGCTTCGCATAAGAACTTGCAGTAAACTTCTCATATTACATTTAAAAACCCATGGCATCTCAAAAATATAATTAAGAACTTACCATAGTCTCAAACAAGTAGAAAATAGGGATTCATGCGATTTTTTTTCTTCTTTTTTTTTCCGGGTATTTTTCACCCTTTTTTTTTTTGCATTTTTCTCTTTTTTTTTCCGCACGCCCTATATTACATCAAATGCATAACTTAAAACAAGAACACATGCCACTATAATGTCCAACTCTTACCACAAACCCAGTTTAAGCAACCTAATCCAGAGCTTGACAAAAGGGTAAAGAATAAAAAAAAAAAACAAGGCTAACGGTTTAATGTATCTGGAGCTAAAGAAAAACGGTCAAGGCTTGAATGGTTCACTAGGGGTAAACATAAATGGGTAGGCTTTTTAAGCTAACTTGGCTAAATCCTAGTGCCTTTATTCTTGTGGCAAGCCATCTACAAGAGCACAGATGCGTCCTAGCTCGGCAAATTCAAGATTAATCCATACTAGATATGATATACTTCTCACATAAAAATGTTGAGCATTCAAATACACTAACTCTATTCGCTCAGAAAAGCTCAGATCACTCAATTTAAAGTAACTTTTTTGTGATAATATTCCAATCATCAACTTCAACACTTAAATTCACAACATATCTGAATAGTACATAGCAAAGAAAAATTTATGTTTTTCATTCTTCACTTTTCAACCTATGATGATTAGCAACATAACAGTTGAAACGTTTGAAAACAGTGGTTCAGACTCAAATTTTTGAAAAAATTTTATCAAAAAGACGTTTAATTCTTTTAAGTAAGCAATTTAATGAAGACAAATTGAAACACACTAACTCCTCTCCCACACCTAAAGCATACATTGTCCTCAATGTATAAAACATACAGAGACAAACAATAAAAGCACATACAAACTCCCAAATAATATTAAAGAGAAAACAAAACAGTACTTCCTTGGGAATTCGTAGTGGAGGAATCAAACTTGATGTGAAGCGGGAGTAACATCTTTTCGCATTGGATCAAAAGGATTGACCACGTCGAAGAATTTTCCTCGAAAGCTAACTGTCACACTCAAACAACCATTAAAAAAAACTAACTCTACGTCGATTAAATGATTAAGAAAAACCACGAAAATCAAGAAATCATAGATCTCAAGATCATCAGGAACAAAAAACTTAACCACCTAGTCGATTTATTCAAGAAAACAAATAACAAAAGTTAAACCATTGGGTTGCCTCCCAACAAGCGCCTTTCTTTAGTGTCTTTGGCTAGACACAGCATGTGTGTATCAAGGTGGAAATTTGAACGCTCCACACACAATCAGAACTTGATACAACTCTAAATAGGCCTCAACAAAACCAAGGTTATATGTCTCAAACTGATATTCAAGCATTGTATCAACAAACAAAGGTGGAAAATGATCTCCTCTAAATGACTCTTTAAAAGTATTACACACTCTCCACACGTAAACACAAACATGAAATTCAAAATTGACATCTATCATCCACCCAAATTCAGGAGGTCTAAGAAAATGTCCATATCCATGCTTAAGATCTATAGGTACGGATCTTGAGTCAACTTTTGATGGTTTCCACTTTTCAAAAATTGTAGGCACATAGTCAAAAGGACAACTGCCATTCAAATTAACCCGTGAAGCACACTTAGCATTCAAATTCACATTTTTCCAACCTAAAGATTTAACTCCATTTGTTAATTTAATTCTAGCAGTTTTTCGAAATGACCTTCCTAAGAAAAGTGAAATCAATTTTATTGCAGAATTTTCGTTCAAATCAATCACATCAAAAGTAACAGGAAACACAAAATGACCACTTTTCACTATAGATTTCTCAAACATACAAGTAGGAAATTCAAGAGACTCGTCAACAATATTTATAGCCACATTACTTTTAGATAAAGGCTCATGTTTTAACAAGTCAAATATAGAACAAGGTAAGTTACTCGAACTAAATTCACTAAGTTGAACCTGTTGAAGATTGCAAAATATAGTGAACCTACCAAAGATCTTGCATTTTGGATGAAATTCTGAATTAAATGTCCTATAGGAATTATTGCTTACCGAAATAATCTCATTACCTTCGAGAGAGCTCTGTAAGGCTTCTTTCTCATTCTCTTCCTCCTTTGGCTCAACCAACCTCTCTAAAGGAGATGAAAACATTGCATAAGTAGGACCAGTATACATAGCAACAACACTTTCCTTATCAATATTTTCCAAAGCCTTTTTCATTGCTTCTTCTGCCTTTGCATCTTCAACACTTTCTTCATCATGCGCCTGTGTGGCGTCTACTAGAACATTCTCTTCAGAAAGAATCTCCACATTATTTGGCTTAACCTCTTCTTTAATCGGTCCTCTCAACCTTTCAGGAAAAAGAGGGGGTATCACAATCTTTAGTCGCTCATTCTTATAGTCCTTTATTTCTTCCCTCTTTAGTACATCCTGCTTGATTTGAGTGTCTTCCACCACCATTGTACATTCACTCTCTGTACCATAATTCTCAACTTGATCTGGAATCTGAAATGTCACAGCCTCTAATCTGCTAACTTCTGCAACCATCTGGGACATTTGATTCTCCAAGTTTTGAATTGTAGCACAAGTAGATTGCGATTCCTGTATAAGATCGTGCACATTAATCGCCAAATTTCTAATCATTTCCTCTAAAGACATACCTGGCTCTGGCATTGGTATTGGTGGTGGATACACTTGTTGTGATATTGGTAGTGGGTTGTAGTCGTAATTTGAGCAATCTTGCAAACTTGGATAATGTGTATATGGATTCTGCTCATATCTCGTTCGTGGTGATTCCCAAAATCCTCCTTCGCTACCCACATATCCTCGAGGATGATATTGAAAATTTGGACAAACATTAGCTGTGTGATCGCGCTTAGAACATATACCACATGCTTGCACCTGCTTGAGTTGACCTACAGAAGAAGTTAGTTCATCTAGTTGTTGACTGATGGA